GTGCGTGTGTGCGTGCGTGCGTGTGCGTGTGCGTGCGTGTGTGCGTGCGTGTGTGCGTGCGTGTGTGCGTGCGTGTGTGCGTGCGTGTGTGCGTGCGTGTGTGCGTGCGTGTGTGCGTGCGTGTGTGCGTGCGTGTGGGTGTGTGTGTGTGCGTTAACCGTAATGCCACTGCTACGAGGCACTGTGTGCTTCAGTCACAGTGGATGGATTTAAAGATCCCGTGACGACATTCGCAAGAGTAGTTGTGGGTGAGTGGCTGAGTAACGGCATGACTGACTGAGTGCGTGTCTGGGTGTATGGCTGATTGAGTGGGTGACTGAGGGTGGATGAGTGGGTGGATGAGTGGGTGGATGAGTAGATGAGTGGGTGGATGAGTGAGTGGGTGGATGGATGAGTGGGTGGATGAGTGAGTGGATGAGTGAGTGGATGGATGAGTGGGTGGATGACTGGGTGGGTGGGTGGATGAGTGGATGGATGAGTGGGTGGATGAGTGAGTGGATGAGTGAGTGGATGGATGAGTGGGTGGATGACTGGGTGGGTGGGTGGATGAGTGGGTGACTGACTGTGTGGATGACTGTGTGACTGTGTGACTGACTGTGTGGATGACTGTGTGACTGTGTGACTGACTGTGTGGCTGACTGTGTGGCTGACTGTGTGACTGACTGTGTGGCTGACTGTGTGGCTGACTGTGTGACTGACTGTGTGACTGACTGTGTGGCTGACTGTGGGGCTGACTGTGTGACTGACTGTGTGGCTGACTGTGTGACTGACTGTGTGACTGACTGTGTGGCTGACTGTGTGGCTGACTGTGTGGCTGACTGTGTGGCTGACTGTGTGGCTGACTGTGTGGCTGACTGTGTGGGTGACTGACTGTGTGACTGACTGTGTGACTGACTGTGTGACTGACTGTGTGACTGACTGTGTGGCTGACTGTGTGACTGACTGTGTGACTGACTGTGTGACTGACTGTGTGACTGACTGTGTGGATGACTGACTGTGTGGATGACTGACTGTGTGGGTGACTGACTGTGTGGACTGACTGTGTGGCTGACTGTGTGGCTGACTGTGTGGCTGACTGTGTGGCTGACTGTGTGACTGACTGTGTGGGTGACTGACTGTGTGACTGACTGTGTGGCTGACTGTGTGGCTGACTGTGTGGCTGACTGTGTGACTGACTGTGTGACTGACTGTGTGACTGACTGTGTGACTGACTGTGTGGCTGACTTGTGTGGCTGACTGTGTGGCTGACTGTGTGGCTGACTGTGTGACTGACTGTGTGGCTGACTGTGTGGCTGACTGTGTGACTGACTGTGTGACTGACTGTGTGCTGACTGTGTGACTGACTGTGTGACTGACTGTGTGACTGACCTGTGTGACTGACTGTGTGACTGACTGTGTGGCTGACTGTGTGGCTGACTGTGTGGCTGACTGTGTGCTGACTGTGTGGGCTGACTGTGTGGCTGACTGTGTGGCTGACTGTGTGGCTGACTGTGTGGCTGACTGTGTGGCTGACTGTGTGCTGACTGTGTGGCTGACTGTGTGGCTGACTGTGTGAGCTGACTGTGTGGACTGACTGTGTGCTGACTGTGTGACTGACTGTGTGACTGACTGTGTGACTGACTGTGTGACTGACTGTGTGACTGACTGTGTGGCTGACTGTGTGGCTGACTGTGTGGCTGACTGTGTGACTGACTGTGTGACTGACTGTGTGACTGACTGTGTGGACTGACTGTGTGACTGACTGTGTGGCTGACTGTGTGACTGACTGTGTGACTGACTGTGTGGATGACTGACTGTGTGGCTGACTGTGTGGCTGACTGTGTGCTGACTGTGTGGCTGACTGTGTGACTGACTGTGTGACTGACTGTGTGTGACTGACTGTGTGGCTACTGTTGGCTGACTGTGTGGCTGACTGTGTGACTGACTGTGTGACTGACTGTGTGACTGACTGGGTGGCTGACTGTGTGGCTGACTGTGTGGCTGACTGTGTGACTGACTGTGTGGCTGACTGTGTGACTGACTGTGTGGCTGACTGTGTGGCTGACGGTGTGGCTGACTGTGTGGCTGACTGTGTGGACTGACTGTGTGACTGACTGTGTGACTGACTGTGTGGCTGACTGTGTGGCTGACTGTGTGGCTGACTGTGTGCTGACTGTGTGACTGACTGTGTGGCTGACTGTGTGGCTGACTGTGTGACTGACTGTGTGACTGACTGTGGTGGCTGACTGTGTGGCTGACTGTGTGACTGACTGTGTGACTGACTGTGGGGCTGACTGTGTGGCTGACTGTGTGGCTGACTGTGTGACTGACTGTGTGACTGACTGTGTGACTGACTGTGTGGATGACTGACTGTGTGGATGACTGACTGTGTGGGTGACTGACTGTGTGGATGACTGACTGTGTGGATGACTGACTGACTGTGTGGCTGACTGTGTGACTGACTGTGTGACTGACTGACTGTGTGGCTGACTGTGTGACTGACTGTGTGACTGACTGTGTGGATGACTGACTGTGTGGATGACTGACTGTGTGGCTGACTGTGTGGCTGACTGTGTGACTGACTGTGTGCTGACTGTGTGGCTGACTGTGTGGCTGACTGTGTGGCTGACTGTGTGACTGACTGTGTGCTGACTGTGTGACTGACTGTGGCTGACTGTGTGACTGACTGTGTGACTGACTGTGTGGCTGACTGTGTGGACTGACTGTGTGGCTGACTGTGTGACTGACTGTGTGACTGACTGTGTGGGTGACTGACTGTGTGGCTGACTGTGTGGCTGACTGTGTGACTGACTGTGTGACTGACTGTGTGGCTGACTGTGTGACTGACTGTGTGGCTGACTGTGTGCTGACTGTGTGACTGACTGTGTGGCTGACTGTGTGACTGACTGTGTGGCTGACTGTGTGGCTGACTGTGTGACTGACTGTGTGACTGACTGTGTGGCTGACTGTGTGACTGACTGGTGTGGCTGACTGTGTGGCTGACTGTGTGGCTGACTGTGTGACTGACTGTGTGACTGACTGTGTGACTGACTGTGTGGCTGACTGTGTGACTGACTGTGTGACTGACTGTGTGACTGACTGTGTGACTGACTGTGTGGCTGACTGTGTGGCTGACTGTGTGACTGACTGTGTGACTGACTGTGTGACTGACTGTGTGGCTGACTGTGTGGCTGACTGTGTGGCTGACTGTGTGGCTGACTGTGTGACTGACTGTGTGGCTGACTGTGTGACTGACTGTGTGACTGACTGTGTGGCTGACTGTGTGGCTGACTGTGTGGCTGACTGTGTGGCTGACTGTGTGACTGACTGTGTGACTGACTGTGTGGCTGACTGTGTGGCTGACTGTGTGACTGACTGTGTGGCTGACTGTGTGGCTGACTGTGTGACTGACTGTGTGACTGACTGTGTGACTGTACGGATGGGCGGGTAACTGAGCGTGTGACTGAGCGAGTGGATGAGTGCGTGACCGAGCGAGTGGATGGATGAGTGCGTGACTGAGTGGGTGACTGAGTGGGTGACTGAGTGGGTGGATGAGTGGGTGGATGAGTGGGTGGATGAGTGCGTGACCGAGCGAGTGGATGGATGAGTGCGTGACTGAGTGGGTGACTGAGTGGGTGACTGAGTGGGTGGATGAGTGGGTGGATGAGTGGGTGGATGAGTGCGTGACCGAGCGAGTGGATGGATGAGTGGGTGACTGAGTGGGTGACTGAGTGGGTGACTGAGTGGGTGGATGAGTGGGTGGATGAGTGGGTGGATGAGTGCGTGACCGAGCGAGTGGATGGATGAGTGGGTGACTGAGTGGGTGACTGAGTGGGTGACTGAGTGGGTGGATGAGTGGGTGGATGAGTGGGTGGATGAGTGCGTGACCGAGCGAGTGGATGGATGAGTGCGTGACTGAGTGGGTGACTGAGTGGGTGACTGAGTGGGTGGATGAGTGGGTGGATGAGTGGGTGGATGAGTGCGTGACCGAGCGAGTGGATGGATGAGTGCGTGACTGAGTGGGTGACTGAGTGGGTGACTGAGTGGGTGACTGAGTGGGTGACTGAGTGGGTGACTGAGTGGGTGGATGAGTGGGTGGATGAGTGGGTGGATGAGTGCGTGACCGAGCGAGTGGATGGGTGGTGTTGCGGTTCGAACCAGCAGGCAGACCTGGTGAATACTGCAGCGGTTTGCATACCAAACCTACGCAAAAAAAAATGAATACTCTGACCGGTTACGCGTGTGTCGTCTACGACGTTCAAGATTCCCGTGACGTCGTTGGCACGGCTGCTCATTTGAGGCCGAGTCTACCTAGGGGAGGAGGCCCAGGACCGGTTCGAGACAATCTTCACCGGTGTTGGCCGTGAGCGGGAATCGAACTCGTGACGCCGGGTTCATAGCCGCCACAACACCACTCCACTAAAGCACCACCATCGCCATCAACTAACCTATCCATCAGCATAATGACATATTCTTAGGTCTTTTCGGTAAAGTCACTGTGTAGGTAAAAATATTAAAATTAATAAAATAAAATAAAAATCACGACGTTTCGGAGGCAACACAAGCTTCCGTCTTCAGGTGGAACCGTCACAGCCACGACAGCTGCATCAAGTAAACGAGAGATTGCAAGAGCTACCACTCCGTTTATATAATGGTTGGAGTGGTAGCTCTTGTAATCTCTCATTTACTTGATACGGCTCTCGTGGCTGTGACGGTTCCACCTGAAGACGGAAGCTTGTGTTGCCTCCGAAACGTCGTGATTTTTATTTTATTTAACTTTTATTAATTTTAATGTTTTACCTACACGGTGACTTTACCGAAAAAACCTAAGAATATGAATCCTTGCCGTCACGAAAGCTTCAAATCTAGAAGCATAATGACACTTAACGAATGAATGATGGCGGGGGGTGGGGAAACGTACTCGAGGCGCCTGATAATTGATAACGCAGCGAGCTTTGTCCACGGAATGTAACCGGCACAGCGTGCGTGTGTGTGCGTGACCTCCCTTCCTTGGCGTGCAGTCTGGCAGGCTGAGGAGCGAACTTGAGCGACCCTCCCTCCCCCCCCACCTTCCCCCCCCACCCTCCCCCCCACCTTTCCTCCCCCCCCACCTTTCCTCCCCCCCCCTCCCCTCCCCTACCCTCCCTCCCCTCCCTCCTCCCTCCCTCCCTTCCCTCCCCTGCCTCCCCTCCCTCCCCTCCCTCCCTGCCTCCCCTCCTCCCCCCCACCCTCCCCCCCCACCCTCCCTACCCTCCCCCCCCACCCTCCCTCCCCTCCCTCCCCCCCCCAATCTCCCCCCCTCGCTCCCTCCCCCCCCTCCTCCCCTCCACCCCCCCATCCCCTCCCACCTTCCCCCCCATCTTCCCCCCCCACCCACCTCCCTTCCCCCCACCCCCACCTCCCTCCCCGCTATGGAGGCTAGCGAAGGCCTGCGTGCGTGGCTCGCCTCGCTGGGCCTGCAGGCCTACCTGCGTCGCCTGGTGGACAACGGCTACGACGACCTGGACATGGCCAGCCGCCTGGGGCCCGTCGACCTCGACGCTGTCGGCGTGGCCGACCCGGCCCACCGACGGGCCCTGCTGGACGCGGCGGCCGCTCTGCTTGCCGTCCAGTCGCCCTCACGATCATCCTCCGCCTCCTCCTGTCGTTCTTCCTCGGCAACGGGAAACTCCGGTGCGGCGGCGGCGGCGGTGGCGGCATCGTCGGGACTCTACTTTACCCTAGAGCCTCACGACATCAGCTTGGAGGAGGTGGGAAAGGCCTCAAACAGCGGCGATAGTTCTGCTGGTGGCGGTGGTTGTGGCGGCGGTGGCGGTGGCGAAGGGGCCAGGATCTCGAGGCTGAAGCTCAAGGCCAGGCTCTTGGAGCTGCTGGAGAGCGAGGGGCTGAGGCTCAGTCAGCCCAGGTTCCACGGGGAGGTGAGCGGAGTTCGCATCGTGGCCATCGTCACCGTTGCATCGTAGACGCCACCGTAAAAGTAAAAGATCCGGTGACATCGCTCGACAGAGGAGATGAACGTGCTACGGCGTCACAGTCCCACTTGCCACGATTTTTAAATCCTTTATATTAAGTTCGCTGGCTTGCTTGCTTGCGCGCTTACGACCGTGCAAATCTTTCGGTCGTTTTTTAACCCACTTCCCCGCGATCCAATCGAGCTGACATTTAGCACACAGACTCGTTGTGCGTGACAATTTATTTTCGTGAAAATTTTTTTTCCAAAATTTTACACTTTTTAGGTAAAAAAAAAGTACATTTAATTACCAATTGCTTTAATGGTGGCAGGCATTCATCTGACCCATAGGTGGCAGCCATCTCAAGCCAGAGGACGAGAGGACTCTAGCCGCCCGTTTCAAAGACCAATGTGGGCTGGGTTGTGGCCCCATTGAACACGCATATAAAGGATTTATAGTGAAAAACTTTGTTTTTACGGGTTAATTTTTTGCGACTGAGAATTCCGTTCTGGTCTGTCCTGAGTTCTCACCCTGGTCGCACAGAATTTAGTTGAACTCTTGAACTCGCTCGGCATCTCGCTCGCTCAATCATTTACTCACCCAACATCTCACCCACTCAACCAACATCTCACCCACCCACAATCTCACCCACCCACCTACTGTTTCACTCACCCACCATCTCACTCACTCAACCAACATCTCACCCACCCACCATCTCACTCACAAACCATCTCACCCACTCAACCACCATCCCACCCACCCACCATCTCACCCACTCAACCACCATCTCACTCACCCACCATGTCACTCACCCACCATCTCACCCACCCACCCACCATCTCACTCACTCTCCATCTCACTCACCATCCCACCCAACCACCATCTCACCATCCCACCCACCCACCCACCATCCCACCCACCCACCATCTCACCCACTCAACCACCCACCATCTCACCCACACACCATCTCACCCACCCACCATCTCACCATCCCACCCACCCACCATCTCACCCACCCACCATCTCACCCACTCACCATCTCACCCACTCAACCACCCACCCACCACCATCTCACCCACCCACCATCTCACCCACCCACCATCTCTCCCACTCAACCACCCACCCACCATCTCACCCACCATCCCACCAACCCACCCACCATCTCACCCACCCACCATCCCACCCACCCACCCACCATCCCACCCACCCACCATCTCACCCACTCAACCACCCACCATCTCACCCACACACCATCTCACCCACCCACCATCTCACCATCCCACCCACCATCCCACCCACCCACCATCCCACCCACCCACCATCTCACCCACCCACCATCTCACCCACTCACCCACCCACCATCTATTCCACCCACCATCTCACCATCCCACCCACCCACCATCTCACCCACTCAACCACCCACCCACCATCTCACCCACTCAACCACCCACCCACCATCTCACCCACTCAACCACCATCTCACCATCCCGCCCACCCACCATCTCACCCACTCACCCACCCACCATCTCATTCAACCACCCACCCACCATCTCACCCACTCAACCACCCACCCACCATCTCACCCACCCAACCACCCACCCACCATCCCACCCACCATGTCACCCACCCACCATCTCACCCACTCAACCACCCACCCACCATCTCACCCACTCAACCACCATCTCACCATCCCACCCACCATCTCACTCAACCACTATCTCACCCATCCATCCACCCACCATCTCACCCATCGATCATCTCACCCACACACCCACCATCTCACCCACCCACCATCTCACCCACTCACCCACCCACCATCTCACCCACTCAACCACCCACCCACCATCTCACCCACTCAACCACTATCTCACCCATCCATCCACCCACCATCTCACCCATCGATCATCTCACCCACACACACACCATCTCACCCACTCACCAACCCACCCACCATCCCACCAACCCACCCACCATCTCACCCACCAACAACCTAACAGACGGTGCCCCGCCTTCACCCTCCGTTGTATCCCTGTGTAGGCCGGAAGCCTGCAGCTACAGCTGCTGGCACAGGCCTACTCACCCACCATCCCAACCCACCCACCATCCCACCCACCCACCCACCATCCCACCCACCCACCATCTTACCCACTCACCCACCCACCATCACCCTCCGTTGTTGTATCCCTGTGTAGGCCGGAAGCCTGCAGCTACAGCTGCTGGCACAGGCCTACTCCTCGCTGCTGGGCACAGCGTCCGTGCCTCACGTCCTGGAGTCCCTCATCGACATCCACATGCGCCACGTGCAGGAGGTGATCGCACGCTAGGACACGTGTCGCCTCTGTAGAGGCCGCAGGGGCAAGTGCTGTTAGCGAGTAGCAGCAGCGCCTAGACGAGACAAAGCTCCCCCAGGTAGCCTCTAGTAGGGCAGCAGGGGCAAGTGAATGAGACAAAGACCAAGCTCCCCCAGGTAGCCTCTAGTATGGCAGCAGGGGCAAGTGAATGAGACAAAGACCAAGCTCCCCCAGGTAGCCTCTAGTAGGGCAGCAGGGGCAAGTGAATGAGACAAAGACCAAGCTCCCCCAGGTAGCCTCTAGTAGGGCAGCAGGGGCAAGTGAATGAGACAAAGACAAAGGTCCCCCGTGTAGCCTCTGTACAGGCCGCAGGGGCAAGTGCTGTTAGCGAGCAGCAGCAGCACCTATGAAGAAGACAAAGGTCCCCCGTGTAGCCTCTGTAGAGGCCGCAGGGGCAAGTGCTGTTAGCGATGCCTGTGAAGGAGACACTTGCCCCAACAGTCGGTGGCAGGCTACACGGGTGATCTTTGTCTTTGTTGTGCACTTGGGTTCCCACAGGAAGAGGATTGCAAAGCCACGGACCTTATCACGGACAGGCTGCAGACACAGGTACCTCACCACCACCGCCACCACCACCACTGTCACCACCACCGCCACCGCCGTCGCCACCACCACCGTCACCACCACCACCGTCACCACCGTCATTACCACCACCACCGTCATTACCACCACCACCACCGTCACCACCACCACGGTCGCCACCACCGTCGTCACCACCACCACCGTCACCACCGCCACCGTCGTCACCGTCACCACCGTCACCACCACCACCGTCATCACCGTCACCACCGTCACCACCACCACCGTCATCACCACCACCACCGTCACCACCACCGCCACCACCGTCGTCACCGTCACCACCGTCACCACCACCACCGTCATCACCACCACCACCGTCACCACCGCCACCACCGTCACCACCACCACCGTCACCACCGCCACCACCGTCACCACCACCACCGTCATCACCGCCACCACCGTCACCACCGCCACCGTCACCACCACCCCCGCTACGTACGGTGCGAAAGAAGTTTAACGTCAATACATCGTGATCTTCGTCACTTTCACCACTAGCACCGCCATCGCCACCACCGCCACCATCCTTGTCATCATCACCACCACCACCACCATCCTTGGTAATCTCTCACATTCACACAGCTACTTCTGTGCCCAGTTACATGCTAATTTCTCACATTAACATCATGCTAATCTCTCACATTAACATCATGCTAATCTCTCACATTAACATAGCTACTTCTGTGCCCAGTTACATGCTAATTTCTCACATTAACATCATGCTAATCTCACATTAACATAGCCACTTCTGTGCCCAGTTACATGCTAATCTCTCACATTAACATCATGCTAATTTCACATTAACATAGCCACTTCTGTGCCCAGTTACATGCTAATTTCTCACATTAACATCATGCTAATCTCTCACATTAACATAGCTACCACCGTGCCCAGTTACACGCTAATTTCTCACATTAACATCATGCTAATCTCACATTAACATAGCCACTTCTGTGCCCAGTTACATGCTAATCTCTCACATTAACATCATGCTAATCTCTCACATTAACATAGCTACCACCGTGCCCAGTTACACGCTAATCTCTCACATTAACATCATGCTAATCTCTCACATTAACATAGCCACTTTTGTGCCCAGTTACATGCTAATTTCTCACATTAACATCATGCTAATCTCACATTAACATAGCCACTTCTGTGCCCAGTTACATGCTAATCTCTCACATTAACATCATGCTAATCTCACATTAACATAGCCACTTCCGTGCCCAGTTACATGCTAATTCCTCACTTTAACATCATGCTAATCTCTCACATTGTGTGTGCGGTGCGTGTGTGTGCGATCTCTCTGTGTGTGTGTGTGTGTGCGGTCTCTGTGTGTGTGTGTGCGGTCTCTGTGTGTGTGTGTGCGGTCTCTGTGTGTGTGTGTGCGGTCTCTGTGTGTGTGTGTGCGGTCTCTGTGTGTGTGTGCGGTCTCTGTGTGTGTGTGCGATCTCTCTGTGTGTGTGTGCGGTCTCTGTGTGTGTGTGTGCGGTCTCTGTGTGTGTGTGTGCGGTCTCTGTGTGTGTGTGCGATCTCTCTGTGTGTGTGTGCGGTCTCTGTGTGTGTGTGTGCGGTCTCTGTGTGTGTGTGCGATCTCTCTGTGTGTGCGGTCTCTGTGTGTGTGTGTGCGGTCTCTGTGTGTGTGTGCGATCTCTCTGTGTGTGTGTGCGGTCTCTGTGTGTGTGTGTGTGTGTGTGCGGTCTCTGTGTGTGTGTGCGATCTCTCTGTGTGTGTGTGCGGTCTCTCTGTGTGTGTGTGTGCGGTCTCTGTGTGTGTGTGTGCGGTCTCTGTGTGTGTGCGGTCTCTGTGTGTGTGCGGTCTCTGTGTGTGTGTGCGATGTCTCTGTGTGTGTGTGCGATCTCTCTGTGTGTGCGGTCTCTGTGTGTGTGTGCGATGTCTCTGTGTGTGTGTGTGATGTCTCTGTGTGTGTGCGATGTCTCTGTGTGTGTGTGTGATGTCTCTGTGTGTGTGCGATGTCTCTGTGTGTGTGTGCGATGTCTCTGTGTGTGTGTGCGATGTCTCTGTGTGTGTGTGTGATGTCTCTGTGTGTGTGCGCTGTCTCTGTGTGTGTGTGCGATCTCTCTGTGTGTGTGCGGTCTCTGTGTGTGTGTGCGGTCTCTGTGTGTGTGTGCGGTCTCTGTGTGTGTGTGCGATCTCTCTGTGTGTGTGTGCGATGTCTCTGTGTGTGTGCGGTCTCTGTGTGTGCGGTCTCTGTGTGTGTGTGTGATGTCTCTGTGTGTGTGCGATCTCTCTGTGTGTGTGCGGTCTCTGTGTGTGTGTGCGGTCTCTGTGTGTGTGTGCGATGTCTCTGTGTGTGCGGTCTCTGTGTGTGTGTGTGATGTCTCTGTGTGTGTGCGGTCTCTGTGTGTGTGGTCTCTGTGTGTGTGTGCGATCTCTCTGTGTGTGTGTGCGGTCTCTGTGTGTGTGTGCGGTCTCTGTGTGTGCGGTCTCTGTGTGTGTGTGCGATCTCTCTGTGTGTGTGTGCGATCTCTCTGTGTGTGTGTGCGATGTCTCTGTGTGTGTGCGGTCTCTCTGTGTGTGCGGTCTCTGCGTGTGTGTGCGATCTCTGTGTGTGTGCGATCTCTGTGTGTGTGTGCGTGACTGTGCGTTGCGTGTGTGTGTGTGCGGTCTCTGTCTGTCTGTGTGTGTGTGTGTGCGATCTCTCTGTGTGTGCGATCTCTCTGTGTGTGTGTGCGTGTGTGTGTGCGATCTCTCTGTGCGCGTGTGTGTGTGTGCTTTGTGTATGTGTGACTGTGTGTGTGTGCGTGTGTGTGTGTCCCAGTCGGCGCACCAGTCTCCGGAGCGGGTGGCCGTGCACAGGAAGTTGTCTACGCCGGACACGCCAAAACGGGCACCGCACTTGGATCTGCCGCGCACGTGAGTAACGCCTCCCTGCCCTCGTCCTCGTTGTTGTTGTGTTGTGGTTATTGTGTTGTTGTTGTCGTTGTGTTGTTGTTGTGTTGTTGTTGTTGTGTTGTGGTGTTGTTGTGTTGTCGTGTTGTTGTGTTGTTGTCTGTGTTGTTGTCGCACTTGGATATGCCGCGCACGTGAGTGACGCCTCCCTGCCCTCGTCCTCGTTGTTGTTGTGTTGTGGTTATTGTGTTGTTGTTGTCGTTGTGTTGTTGTTGTTGTGTTGTTGTTGTTGTGTTGTTGTCGTTGTGTTGTCGTTGTTGTTGTCGGTGTTGTTGTTGCACTTGGATCTACCGCGCACGTGAGTAACGCCTCCCTGCCCTCGTCCTTGTTGTCGTTGTGTTGTGGTGGTGTTGTTGTCGTCCCGTTGTGTTGTTGTGTTGTGGTGTTGTTATGTTGTGGTGTTGTCATCATCCCATTATGTGTTGTTGTTGTTGTGGGGTTGCTGTTGTGCTGTCGCTGCTTTGTCGTTGTGCTGTCCTTGTTGTGCTTTTGTGTTTTCGCTGTTTTTTTAGTTGTGTTGTTGTCGTTGTGTTGTTGTCGGTGTTGTTGTCGTCCCGTTATGTTGTTGTGTTGTTGTGGTGTGGTCCTGGTGTTGTCAGTGTTGTTGTCGTCCCGTTATGTTGTTGTGTTGTTGTTGTGTTGTGGTGTTGTTGTGTTGTTGTCGGTGTTGTTGTTGTGGTGTTGTGGTGTTATCGTTGTTGTGTTGTCGTGGTGTTGTTGTCGGTGTTGTTGTCGTCCCGTTGTGTTGTGTTGTTGTTGTGTTGTGGTGTTGTTGTGGTGTTGTGGTGTTATCGTTGTTGTGTTGTCGTGGTGTTGTTGTCGTCCCGTTATGTTGTTGTGTTGTTGTGTGGTGCTGTTGTGTTGTGGTGTTGCCATCGTCCCGTTATGTTGTTGTGTTGTTGTGTTGTTGCTGCTTTATCATTGTGTTGTTATTGTGCTGTCGTTGTTGCGCTGTTGTGTTTTCCCTGTTGTTCTTTTAGTTGTTGTCGTCGTTGTCGCTGCTGTTGCATGTTTAGTTGGTGGAGTTGACGCGCAGAGGTGCAGCGTGCGGTGTGGTGGTGATGGCGGTGGTGGCTGTGATCGCCGTGGTTACCGGCAGCGCTTTAGCGTGTGGGTGCAACCAGCAAGGCAACTTGCCGCTACGCTGCGCTACGAACCCGGCGACCCGTCATCTGGTCCAACACCATGTGAGACTAGGCTCTAAGAAAAGCTGTCTCGGGTGTGGACCAATCAACTTCAAGGACAGTGCATATCATTATCAGAGTTGTGTTTTTTGTTTGCATTACGACTGCAGGTATTGTGGTCTATGCAAACATGACTCCTTGTAAAAAAGGTGTCAGTTTTGTTGCCAGATAAAAGGGTAAAAAAACAATTATATTTTGCTACTGGCAAATGAGGTTCCAATGGTGTAAATGCTTCACCCCGAGCTCTCATACTCTGATGGTGCGTTGCCTTTGAGTTGTGCGCCTTTTGGCGTCATCTGGTCCAACACCATGTGAGACTAGGCTCTAAGGAAAGCTGTCTCGGGTGTGGACCAATCAACTTCAAGGACAGTGCATACATTACCAGAGTTGTGTTTTTGTTTGCATTATGACTGCAGGTATTGTGGTCTATGCAAACATGACTCCTCGTAAAAAAGGTGTCAGTTTTGTGCCAGATAAAAGGGTAAAAAAATTAACCCGTATAAACAAAGTTTTTCTCTATAAATCCTTTATATGCGTGGCGGCTAGAGTCCTCTCGTCCTCTGGCTTGAGATGGCTGCCACCTATGGGTCAGATGATTGCCTGCCACCATTAAGCAATTGCTAATTAAATATAATTTATTTTTTCCTAAAAAGTGTAAAATTTTGGGAAAAAAATTTTCACGAAAATAAATTGTCTCGCACAACGAGTCTGTGTGCAAAAACGTCAGCTCGATTGGATCACGGGAAGTGGGTTAAAAAAACGACCGAAAGATTTGCACGGTCGTAAGCAAGCAAGCAAGCAAGTGAACTTAATATAAAGGATTTAAAAAAACTATTATTGTATTTTGCTACTGGCAAAGGATGTCTCGTGATGATAGAAAGCCAGCGGCCAAAGGCGATTTTTCAACCGTAGCGACCTCCGCCCGCCTCGCACAGCCACGATTCTTACTCGCCGTGTTTGCTTTTTTACTTTGCAGGAGCTCTTTTCACAAGCCCAGATCGGATGAGGGTAAGGCAATCCGTCTAGCACCTTCGCTGGCGATACAGCGCCAGCCTGGCCTGGTTCTCTAGCTACCTACCTTTTTCCACTGCGATACAGGGCCAGCCTGGCCTGGTTCTCTAGCTACCTACCTTTTTCCACTGCGATACAGCGCCAGCCTGACCTGGTTCTCTAGCTACCTACCTTTTTCCACTGCGATACAGCGCCAGCCTGACCTGGTTCTCTAGCTACCTACCTTTTTCCACCGGTGATACAGGGCCAGCCTGACCTGGTTCTCTAGCTACCTACCTTTTTTCCACTGCGATACAGGGCCAGCCTGACCTGGTTCTCTAGCTACCTACCTTTTTCCACTGCGATACAGCGCCAGCCTGACCTGGTTCTCTAGCTACCTACCTTTTTCCACTGCGATACAGGGCCAGCCTGGCCTGGTTCTCTAGCTACCTACCTTTTTCCACTGCGATACAGCGCCAGCCTGACCTGGTTCTCTAGCTACCT